CAGAGCCCCGCTGCTGGAGCCCTGGGGTAGCGGCCGGGAGTCCCGGGACTCTGGCAGTGATTTAAAGGGCCCGGGGCTCCTAGCTGCTGCTACTGCAGCCAGAGCCCTGGGCCCTTTAAATTGCTGTCAGAACCCCGCTGCTGGAGCCCCCGGGTAGTGGCCGGGAACCCCAGGGCTCTAGCGACAATTTAAAGGACTTGTGCTCCCAGCTGCTGCAGCCGGAGCCCCAGGCCCTTTAAATCGGGCTTTAAAGGTCCTGGGGATTTAATGGCCCGGCCTCTTTGGGTTGAGGCCCCGTTCCCCACTGAGGACCCCGGCCCTGTGTACCGGTAAGTCCCTTACGTTACTTTCACCCCTGCTTAGGTGTCTGTGCTACTTACGTCTCATGATCAGTTCACGTTTCCCTGTGGTCAGCTCTTGGGCCCGGCCACTAAGGGTACCCATTGCTGGGTACCACTAAGGGTTAGGTTCTAGATCACATTAATTATTATTTGTAGTACAATAGCACCTTGTGGCCCCAACTGAAATCAGGGACCCATTATGCTAGGATAGTAGTACAGTAAGACATAGTCCTTTTCTACCTCCTACACCTTAAGAGGTAAGGCTTAGATCCTGTGACTTGTGTCTGGCTGGAGCCTCACTTAACTCAATGTGGTTCTGAGTGTAAATCTCCACCCGCATGAAACAAATTTCAGGGCTGGGGGTCTGCACCTTTGTTACTTTAGTGTCACTTAGTGATTGAAGATTTGTTATCACTTGTGCGACAGGCTGTGTGAATTTCTCAAACAAGATAATGTTAGGCCACATGCATCTTATTAAAACAAGATTGATTAGGAAATAATATTAAAACAACTTCTAAGTTCTTATATCACACCCATCACTACACTGTATGAGCTTGGCTGAAAATACCTAACATGTAAACATATCTAGCCCTAACTCAGTAAGAGTTCATCTAAAGAGGTACCAACCTATAGATATGGAAAAGGACGATAACCAGCTTGTATCTTTAGCCGGCTGATTGTTTCTTACAACCTCACCATAGCTTCCTGCCTACTAAACACTGACTCAAGTTTCAGACTCTTGGGCCTTGTGTAATGCTCCTCCACCAGTGGTAGCAATGGAAGAAACTGATGTGTAGACAATACTCTCGTGAACTCAGGCATTCCTACCAGTATGTTTTGTAACCCTGCTCTGAGAAGCTGAGGGAATGTGAGGAGCACATTACTAGCTCCGCTTCTGCTACAGTCTCAGCTGGCTGCTGCTATTTTCACTCAGACTAACTTCTTGTGGTTCCTCAGAGCTAAATATTTAGCCAATCACTAGCTGAGTAACAGAGAGGGGAATATCAACTGGAGGTGAGGGGAAATGGCTCAGGGTAGCATACATAGCAGGGACCACGGCTGTGAGCATGGGGGATACTGTATGGGGAGCATGGTGAGGGAGCAGAGATTACATTCCCATTCAACAAAGCACAGTTGAGACAATTGCCAGCCAAGGAGCTTCAGAGCTGGAGTGTGTGAGGGCACCTGTGGGTTACTGAAGAGTATACATGGCATGTGAGAGAGGACTCTTAAGCCAGCAAATTCTTCACTACAAAAATAAGTGCGTCTTTACATCAAGAAAGCTATCTCAATGTAAAATCCTAGTAGAGACAAGGTACTCTAGTTTTTACGCTGATGTAACTAGTGGAAATTAGCCTCGGGTTCACCTCCACTAGCAACATTTTAAATTGCAACACTATAGTTGTGCAATTTAAAATTATTGTTAGTCTTTTTATTTTCTCTGAGTGGGTTTATCTCCTGTGCTTTTAACAAGAGATAACACAATATTATTGCAGTAATAACAATGCTGTTTGTTATAAATGGCAGCATTTCAAAATACGGATTACAAAGTACTACAACTAATTATCTCAGATCATAGTTGACATCACACCATCAAAATTAGCTCCAGAAGAGTATGCTGATGTTCTTCATAAGTTCATGTTACTGCATCTAGTCCTGAGAAATGCACATGCTCTAGGCTCCAATCTTGCACACATCGGCCCCACGAGGTACTTAAGTATGTACTTAAATTTAAATACGTGAGTAGTCAGGGCACATGCTTAAGTATTATGCTGAATCAAAGCTATAAGTAGTCCAAATATTTAGTTAGTTTAAATGTTTGACCTGTCTCCACCAGGTTCCACAGCACCCCGTATCAAAAGGGGAAGAGGACACAGAGAGGAAGAATAGCCTATTGGTTAGGGTGCTAGTCTGGAACTTGGAAGATCTGCATTCAATTCCCTGTGCTCCCATAGACTTCCTTTGTGACCTTGGGCAAGTCACTTAGGACCAGTTCCTCAGGGGTTTTAGGTGTCTAGCTCCCA